GCCTAAACAACAACGGAGGGCTTAACAAAGCCGACTCATTTCTTGAGGGTCCGATATTCAATTTAATTTTCAGAGTTGTTATTTGGCAACTACACCCTGTTCTTTCCCAAATTTAATAATGTTGCCAAACTGGCAGCTTTGCAATAGCTAAAGAAAAGATTATATGCCTATATTCTAATTTTCCTTTCTCTACACAACAAACTCAAATGTTAAACCAATAATCTTCTACTGAGGGAAAAAATATAAATGTCACCTTGACTAATTGGTGATAACTGAGTGAATCAGCTGGGTTTGCATATTTCTGGCTGAGGTATAATTTCCTTGAAAAGAAGTGACAAAGAATAAAGGAAGGATTGTAAGCTGAATTTCTTCAGGAACTGACAGTCAGGGATAGGAGGAGGCTATGGCTCACCCGCAATGGGTGTCTCTTGTGGGAATCATGCCCATTGCCCAAATTTACCTTCTCCCATCACAGAGCCTTCTTGTTCAGTCTCTACTTGTGATCTTTGGCGTTTGGATGAGATGTGAATATGATTCTTTTGATCATTAGTCTGGGATTCAGAAATTTCTTCAAGTTTTGTTTCTGTATTAATGAAAAAAGAAGTCAGTTTTTTGTTTTTTGGAGAAAAAGACATTTTTTTATTTGTAAGTGGGCCCTAGGATGTTTCCCTTTTACCACCCCTAAAATGATTGTGATATACATGCAATAGAACACATATATTTACAGCTTAAGACATAACAAATAAAATCCAATATACCTACCACCAACCTTAAGATATAAAATTGTGCTGTCCAATATGGTAGCTACCACATGTGGCTAATGAACACTTGAAATGTAGCCAGTGCAAATTAAGATGGGCTTTAAGTGTAAAATATACACCAGATTTTGAAGACTTAGTGAAAATAATGTAAAATATCTAATATTTTTATACTGATTATATGTTAAGATGTTATGTTTTTAGTTAAATGGCTACTAAAAAATTATATATATGGCTTCTATTTGTGGCTTCCATTATATTTCTATTGAACAGAGTTGGCAAAGAACATTACTAATAGTTTTTTTTTTTTTTTACTTTTTATTTTGTAAAAATAGGAAAGGATGGTGCAGGACTGGGCAGTGTTTCGTTTGGTTGTACATAGGGCCGCTATGAGTCACAACTGACTTGACGGCCCCTAACAACAACAACAACAACAATATTTATAGATTCACAGTAAGTTGTAAAGACATGTACAAGGAGTTGTCATGTACCTCCACCCAGTTCCCCATTGTTAGCTTGCATAACTGTAATGCAATATCAAAACCAGACTTCCATTACTTGAAGATACATGTTAATATTAACAAAAGTGATTTTTTTTGATTGGATAATAAAATGTGTCAGGATTTGGAAGATCTGCATAACTCAGTGAAACAATATTTTCCAAATGACCTAAGAACAATGTTTCAAAATCATGCATGGGTGAAAGAGCCATTCAAAGT